GGAAGAAAAATAGCAAATAGCAAATGTTAAGCCTTTGTGGTCTTTGAACTATATATATGGCGTATACATTGTCTGCATGAATATCTTTGCTTTTGCTTTATTTCTTAATTATGGCCAGAAGTCGATTGAATAGTTGGTGAACCGTTGTCATGCTTGTTGGGAGTAAAAGAACCTTCCAAACCATTTCCCAGTCTGTTTTGCTGAACAGCTCTTAGTTCTATGTTCGTCTTTTTCTGCTTAATGCCTTCAAAACTTCTCTGAAAATTCGCATTCTGAAACTGTAAGCGAGAGGACTCATCATAAGATTTGCTAGATATAACTTATACACGTACGGCACCCGCAGAGTATCAGAAATGCTTCGCTGGAACAATTCTCTCGTTGAGTAGAAAACAAACGCAGAATGAATCGATTTCGATAAAAAGCCTTTAGGAAGCCCTGAATAATTTCGAGCAAAAGATTGAAATGTCAGAAAGGCTTGCAAAGACAGCAACCAAACTTTTTTCGGAAACCAGGCTATTTGTTCTAATATGAGAAGAACAATAGTAATAAAGGGTTTGGTTTTATCGTTTGTCTCACGATTGTCACTTTGATATTGATCGCAACGATTCGACAGCACTGCAGGTCTTCATCAGGCGATAGTGTCGATTTACTGAGTTGAACTATTTGTACCACCGTGGTTGTTAGTGATTGGTGTATCACAAACCTCGCTCACGGTTGGTGGGTTTCTATCCAAAGCATTGTCGACGTTGATGGTATCTTTCCATGTAGAATCTTCATTTAAAAACCTTCCGATTGAATGCGCTGTAAGAGCGACGTTATGGAAACAAGCGAGTGACCTAAGCCTCTCTAATGCAAAAATGCTGGATGAAATAAATGAAGATTACGTAAAGGATCATGGTCTTGATAGCTGATCAAAATAAGTTCTTATAAAATATTAAACAGAACCGTTATTAGAAAAAGATTTAAATTATCATAAACCAGCCAAAAAATGCTTTACAACAAAAAAGGGAAACATGAAATAGAATGAAAGAGAGACTTGAAGTAAAGGAGAAGAAGAAACATGGCAACGGTGGCGCACTCAGTTATTAGGAAACCTGTTAAGCATCGCGTTTACGTCAAACTGCAAACGTGAATTTGTACCACGTGACCAAGTTTCTTCTTTACTTGCCGTCTACTGGTAATTATTTGTGCGCATATATTAGTAGTTTCACGCAATATTTATCCACTTGAATTGTTTTGAGCTGTTGTTATCTGCGCATTTCCTATTTTGAGAAATTCTCAACTGAAATCTGACGTTTGCCGTTTACGTAAAGCTTAAACTGACTCTATTATATTTAAAAGTAGGTTGAGTTTGATCGTCAGGGTGAACGTAGTCCTGAATAGGACTGTTGTTGTTGACAGTGATGGACGTTTCGACAACCTGTGTCTAACCTATGTTTCTTCTTCTCAGCGTATAATACCATCAACTGACGTGATACAACTCACTTTAACTCTGAAGATGACTACCGCACAGGCTGTCGAAACGTCAGTCACTGTCAGCAACAACAACAGTCCTATTCAGGACAACGTTCACCCGGACGATCAAACTCAACCTACTTTTGAAATGACTCCTGGGTTCAAACCTTTCACACTCTATTATATTTGTTGCTTCCCAAATAAGGCATGAGGGACAAAAGCATGAACAACTAAGAGGAGGACTTAAAGGAACAGTATCCTGTTACTGCGCATGTACCAAACTTGAATTTTTTTTACCATTCTCAACCCCAGTGCCTACGGGTTTGGGAATCATGGTGCGTAAGCTCTAGGAAACTCTGCGCCGGAGTAGCCAAAATCTGGCTATTTGGACCTCACAGCGGATGCTCTTTGATCCAACCAAAATTTTTTTATTCTTTTATGTCCACTTCATCGCCAAAGTCTTGTGCTGCTTTGGTATTAGAACTGAAGAAATTCAGTTAACGGCCTTGAGGGATTTTCAGGTATCCAAGGCTCTTGTGGTGGCCGCTGAGAAAATACCGTTAAACGTTCGCAATCACAGATTTGAGATTTGAATTTTGCATATGCTTCACAGTTGATTAACTATTTCTGTGGACTACTTTAAGAGTCGGTAAGTGAAACCCGAATAACCGTATCGAAATTCCAATAAAACTTTCCAAAATATGAATTTAGCGTCCTTTTATTTATGTTTGTTCATGAACTTTAGCTCTTCAGCGAAGCCGCTTTGATATCGTGGGAAAAGAAGACAGCTATAAATATCTAGTCGCATTGTACACGCATCACTTTAAGGAACGATTTAATTTATCTTTTTTTTTTCTTGCAAGTCTGTTTTTGGGCAATTTACAACAAGAAGCTCAAGTTCTCATTCATACTCGGCTGCTTCGTGTGAATACGTTAACATGGAAGTCAAAGAAAAATCAGTAATGTGTCATGATTCTTAAACTATAGCTGGCAAAGATGTCGGTGCATTTTTGTTTCATTTTTTCACATTCAAATCTTTTTCTTGTTCAATTTTCCATTTGTAGCTAAGCTATTTTATTTGAAAACTGGAAAATCCAGTAATTCCGCCTAATTAGTCGTGTAAATGTCGTATGGAATCGCTGAAATCAAGAATCGGCCGGTCGTGTTTACTTCAACATTTCTAGGGAAAAACCCGCTCACACGCCAGACACGCCGCACGTTCAACCGCTCTAGTGCAAACATGAATGGACCAATCAGAAACACGTTTCTTGTTTTTTGCTGAAACCAATCAGAGACAATCTTGCTCCAGGGTTCCCCAGAGCTCTTGATCTGTCTCCTCTACATGCGCAGAAGAGCACTGGGTCGAGATTGTTTTTGGACAGGATGTCCCGAAATCAAAAGATGCGAGGATAGTAAGAGAACCTTGAAAAATCAGTTTGCATCGCGTTTGGCCGAATTGGATACTACACCAAAACTTCTCAGGATTACAGATCAATGATATATCGTTCCTGTTGAGTTTCGATTATGGCGAAATAGGGATTTTTTGGAGTTACCTTATTGCCGTTGGCCGGAGGACCAAAAGACAGGAAGCCCTTTGATGCCGATTGAAGGCTTTTTATTTCTTCTGCCAGCTTCCATACAAGCTCAGATAATTGTGAAAGGAATACGCAGAAATGAAACAGCAGCAATAGAGACTATAAGAAAGAAACCATTGAGACATGGAAGTGACTGAGGAGATTTTGTGGAATTAAGCTTCGTGAAGCAGAATGTTTTGCAACGACGCGTGGGTAAACTTTTAAGTGAACCTCCCTGCGGCCGACAAAATCAAGTAGACAGGCGCTACTTGTTTAGAAAAACTAGTGCAATGAAATCATAATGTATAATTTTTGACTAACCTTTGCTGAGATTGCATTTTTATTTTTCAAACGTTTGAGGCTAGAATGCGAGCAAATCAGGCAAATATTACTGGACTTGGAACAACTGACCTCTGACACGAGTTTCACATTATAAAAGCTGTTTTTAAAGCCAGCGGAACGAGATTTTCGTTACCCGAGGCGGCCCTGCTAGCGACAACATCGCGATGAGTCTTCGTGCCGCGAGCCATTTTTTAAATAAGACAAAAAAAACTTCTTCGAAAGTCTAAAATATTTCTTGAGAATGTAAACAACAAATCTCCTTCGACGGTGCGGTGCGGAAGGAAATCTTGTCTAGTCAATATGACAGTTCTATTGTCTTTTGAAGAAAAAAACAGATGACGCTCGCGCCTGCGCACAATCGGGACACTGTCCCTTTAAGCTCAATAACGCTTTTAAAAATCGAGCTTATTTAATGGCATCGGTTGGTTGTACACTTTTTGACGTTTCTATCTGAGCTTTCATGAAAAGCTGACATTTATTTGAGGAGCTAAATTAAATCATATCAATACATGTTTAATATTGTTATTAACGAACTTTGAACAGTTTTGATAACTTGCACACAATTTTAAACTGCATTTTTATGTAATTTGATGGACAATGAGAGGCATTATCTCAGTGAGGTAAATAGATTTGTTATATTCCTAGACTTTCACTCAACTAAACAGGGACTGCCATTGGTTGATTCTTGGCCACGTGACCTTGACTAAAATCAAATGTATCCCGATCGTGATACATTAAACAATGTATCCCGCTCGGGATACATTGCAGCACGTGATCAAAGCATGGTGGAAAGTGGTGTGACAGAAGGCGGGAAAAACACCGCCAGGTCCAGCCAGTTTTCTTTTTCGTGAATGAACACAACAACACAAAAACGAAGCCTCAAGCTAAAAAGCAACGATTTTTAAAGTTATCCCAGAAGTTCCCAGAAGAAAAACAGCAGCTAGTGGAGGAAAAAGATGCAGATAATATGAGGATGTTTGTAAATCATTCATTCAGTGGTTTTGAGAATTAAATTTGTGTTGTTATAAGTACCGAGTCGACTGTTTTGGTTCGCTCCGGTTATTCTTTTGTTGCTGTTGAAGTGAAAGTCTAGAAATATAACAAAACACTTAATGTCAGGTCCCTCGGGAAACCAGTTAGTTTTGTTTTCCCTCGAGTCCTGATGTTTCCCTCGACGAAACATCAGGACTCTTGGGAAAACAAAACTAACTGTTTCCCTCGGGATCTGACATTAAGTGTATATAGTACAACTGCAAACATAGCGTCGAAATTTTGTCCACAGTCATAAAGTAAATGCTGATCAGAGCAACAGTATACGATACAAATATGATAGGAAAGGGCTGCGACCTTTACAACTGGATAAATAGTCAAATTACTATTTGCTTTTTCGATGCAAGGTTTTATATACACAATGCCTCGCTATTTACACTGCTTTCCGGCTTTACTAGCGAGTACAATCGTGATATATGTATTGTAAAAAAATATATTTAAAAGACAAGTTTTTAATCTTGCCTAACTGCTCGAAGAAATTATCATTTCGAATTTTGCTGATGACACAAATATGCTTTACACAAGTGATAAGTTACAACGTCTTGAAACAGTCATGAATGAGGAATTGAAATTAGTTTTCAAATATAGCATCACAAACAAGCTATCAATAAATCTTACTAAGGCAAACTATATGGTAATCTCATCTTCAAGATTGAATGGAAGTATACATATACATAATATTGAACGTAAAATTCAAACAAAAATATCTAGGGCATATATTGATCAAAATTTACACTGGGGCATAGATTCAACACAAAAACAAAAAGCTAATGAAAAATGTAGGCATCATTAATAAATTAAGGTATACTTGTAAGACCAGGTTAAGTAAGATTAAAACTAAACAGAAAAAATTGTGTTCGTAGCTTGTTCTTTGCTTATAGCAGGGACAATGCTATGCCATTACTTCAATCTTTTAGAAATTCTTACACTTGAAAACATTTACAAATTCAAAGTAGCCCTTTTCACACATAAAATTACTTACAATGCAACAAACGTCCCTAAGATATTCAAAGGAACCTTTACCCTAGCCTCTAAGGTTCATAGTTACTTCACCAGATTCGTATCCATCCTTAATTTTCATGGGCCGAGGATAAACAAGAATTATGGAGCTGTAACTTTCGCTTTTGCTGGGCCAAAAATCTGGGAAAAAATTCTCTCTAAATTAAAAAAAAAAAAAGAAAAAAGGCTCATGTATAACAGCTTAAAAGCAATACAAACTGTATCTTTTAAATAGCCAATGAGTAATTTTATTTCACTGAAATTGTAAGTATAACTTTACGCACTTTTGACTTTTCTGTCTCAGTTATACGCTATTTAAATGTCTACGCCAATTAGTTACACGTGGTAGTGACCAACTCGCGATCGAAAGCTAAAGCTCCCTTTGTCACTGCGCACATTCCACCTTTGATTTTTTAAGTAATTTAATGTTGTTTTATTTTACTTTTGTGATGTATTGTATTATTTTTTTGTAGTAAACTATTAAAATAGTGTGATAAATAAAAATTCTGAATCTCAATCTGAAATGTGCTAATAATAATAGCTTAAGTCTGATATTTTATTTACGAAAATATTGATATGATTAAGAGAAGTACACTATTTTAAATTTTGGAATTCTCTAAATTAGTAAGGGAATAGCCTTCTTGATTAGCAAGTGCAAAATGCTTAATAAAAAAACAAAAAGATTTGAAAAATTGTATTTGTAAGGGAAGCCTGATACCCATAATGAAATACTAACAGCCTACACTGTCAGTTTGGCAAAACTGTGTAATTGCTATGAAAACCATGCTCTCATTTGTAATGTGCGTAGTTTATGTGTGCTTAATTCCCCCCTCTGTTTGCTAATAGTCACTGAATATTGTTTGATGGTCTTCTTTCTGATAAGCATGCATGTGTTGAGATGTCATCCTTGGGTTCCAGTTCAGGTACATTAAGTCTTGTACATTGAGTTTTTGGAGGGAAAGAACCACCCAAGCCTTTGTCAGTAACCTGAACGGGTTCGATGCCAACAGAATGTAGTCGGCATCTCCTCGACAATTTCTTCAAAGCATCCTTGAATATTGCCATTCTAAAGCTGTAGACGATCGGATTGACCATAGAATTTGCCAGATGAAAAACATTTACAACCACCATTACAATCGGTCTAACACATGGTGGGCGGCAAAAGGGTCTAACAGTGTACACAATAGTGGCTGGCAACCATAACACCAGTGACACAGCGATAACCACGAGAACTGTTCTTGACAGTCGTAAGTTGCGTTCAGCTGTCTGGCGAGCGTGGATCTCTTCACCAGGAATGACGTTTGAGCGCCATTTCCTACGTATTTGAAGGTAACTTCCACAAATCGCTAATAGTGCTATGAAAAGGCACGCATGAATGGTTAGAATAACGTATTTCCTCTCTAACTTTGTATGATATAAGGATAATACAGACAGCCCAAAGAAGCAGAATCCAAGACCCCAGACAACAGTTATGACGAAAATGTAAGACCGAGTTCTGGTCGCACGGTGATGAACTGGCCATAAAACGGAATAGACACGTTCCAAAGAAATAAGCGCGAGAAAAAGCACTGAAGTACTCGACGCAAGGACTTGAAATGCAGATGATGGATTTGTAAAACTCTTTTCTTTACCTGGAATGGCCGTCATCTTAGCAATCTTCGCTGTGCCCAGCACAATTGGTTCGGCAATCCCCACAAGCAGATCAGAAACTGCGAGGTTAATAAGAATGAAATATGTTCGCCTCAATTGGGATCGCTGGGTCCAGAAGACAAATATGGTGAACGTGTTTCCAACAATGATAATGAATGCCTCCAATGTATAGATGACAATGAAGGCAGTAACAGCCCAAGAAAACATCCCTTTGCTCTTTCTGTGATCTGTTAGGAAAGAGGGTTTCTTTTATCAATTTATCGAGTAAACTGGAAATTGATCGCGGAAAAAAGGCTTACCGATTTCTCCGTACGTAGCACGAAAATAGTATCGTAAGGGTTATAACTATACCTTAAAATCAGAGAAATAAAATATTTTCCTTAGGTCTTCTTCGTCCCCTCTAATGGTCAAAACGTGCTGAATGCTTTCCTTCATTCCCCCAAAAAAGTGCAAATACATAATCATGTTTATAGGATTTTACAAGCTGTAGAAATGAATTTGCATCTAATTAACAATTATTCCACGAGTGCGCGTTGGATATGAGATGTTAGTAGCCAACGAGGCATGTAGCACCGAGTTGGCTAGAGAGTGTTCCCCCCCCCCCCCCCCCCTCCCCTGGCCATCATCTATGCAAATGTATTGTAATTTTAAATTATTTGGATAAAATCGATATACATAGGACTGTATAAGACTCCAAATAAAACATTGTCTTGTCTTGTCTTGGAACAAAAGAAAGCGTTTGCATAAGAAAAGAGTTCAACTCCCACAGGACTGGTTTGGGACACAAACATGGCCGCCGTTTCATTGTTTTGGGACACCAATGTGGCTGCCGTGACTTCATGTGAAAACACTCTATAATCATCTCATATCCAACAATCACGAGTGGATTAATTGTTCTATTAAAAACGCCCACAAAATGTCGATGAATCTCCCCTACTTTATTTTGTCAGAACAAACCGGAAAAGAAAAGGGACTTCCGCTTTTGACATGTCACACGTCTATGAAAACTGTCAACGCGCGAACGGACTGGATGAATGAATATATATTTCTTCCCTCCCCACAAACGCCTGCTCAACAGAGGACAACATTCCTTTCCCACGCCTAGCCAATCACGTTGTACTTTCCAAATTCTGGAAAGTTGACCTTGACCGCAAGGTAACCCGATAATCACGCGATCTGCATGACACTTTAAGAAACCTTCATGACCTCTAATAAATGTTAGTCTCAGAGCGGCAAAAGTAAGATTTACTCAGTCAGATTTTAGAATTCTCCGTGCACTGCATAACCTTAGCGAACGAAAGAAAAGAAGGAAAAAGGTAACTCTAGGGTCACGTTCTGGGTCACGTTTTTTCACTATCACGAGCTTATGAGTCATGTTTAGCCTGTCAACACTTTATTTAAAAACCGTTGATTGGTTACTTACCACGCGAATGCAACAATGGGAAAGGAATGTTGTCCTCTGTTGAGCAGGCGTTTGTGGGGAGGCAAGAAATACGAGCTCCCCTAAAAACGCCTGCGTGGGAGGCTAGATGAATGAAAGATCAAGCAGGAAATTTCATATATCCCAAGATGCTTCACGGCTTATTTTTGTCTTCTCTTCGCCGCGGAAATAGAGTTCTAGGGTTTCGAGGGAGATTTTTTTCAACGACCTGAACTTCAAGATACATCTCATCCAAGTTGAGTCTCAATGTGCCCTGTTGATCTTCGGTATCTGAGTAATGATGTAAAATGCGTGTTTTCATGGCCATTTGACGCATTGTTGCTCTTGTTTACGACCCTGCTGTTTTAACTCGCAACTGAATACTTATTTTAGATGACCTTCAATTATCGAAAACTGTCAGTTACTTAAGCGAAGTTTTGCTGTTATAAATTATTCATATATGCGGACAAGGGGTGCTTGATATTAGTTCCACACTCCGACCTCTTTCGACCTCGCGATTTTCATGGATTTGACCGTTTTGAAATATTGCATTTTCTGCCCTTTCTCCGCTGAAATGCAAATCGAAGGTTTCAATTTCTTCATGCTAAGTCCTGCGAAGATGGGGCATTATTTATTGAATTCACTCTTTTTTCGCTGATCAAAATACACGTATTAGCTTTTGAAGATATGATGAATGTTTAATCTCAATGTTTTCTAGTATTAAACTTTGTTGTTTCATTATTTTAGGTAAAATTGGTTTCTCATGGTGGCTTCCTGTCGCAAACGCGCGCTTGGCGAAGGCCAGGAAATTTCGCTGAATGGCATACCGTAGGACCTCAACCGGGGCATAAAACCTTTGAAGACATATGGATAGTTCTTTTAGAATCCATTGTGTGAATGAGTGGGTGTTTTCGTATACGTATTATGCCATTTCTTAGTAAAGCTTATCTATGTTTGTTTGACAATGATGCTTAACCGGTGGTGTGTTACGAAAAATATAAGATGTCTAAGCTATTCCCTTCCTTTGAATGTTCGATCTCCGGAAGACGTCACTTTGTACTTTAACGGTCTCGGTATTTTCGACTGCATAAGCCGAGTTTGTTGAAGTAATGGCATGTACAGTCACTGTATGGTTGCATTCATTGCATCGATAAATTATTGAACTGACAATGAGCATCGCGCTCCCAAACTAGCAACGAAAAGAATACTATCGCACACATAGAATATATTATTTTTTTTATTTTAAGACAGGACGTGGAAATCAACGCTTGTTTAATAATCCATGGAGAGCTTTATCAACGCAAGTTAAAACAAGAGACCTTCCTCTTTTGCTTCAAAGAACATTTGCGTAGACTGCCTTGCGATCGTCACGCTAGTTCACTATAAATATCGTCCACCAAAACACTCTCTTTGACTTAACAAAAGATATATTTGGACAAAAATCGTGAATAGATCGACACGGCAAAGGTACAGAACGGTTTTTTTAGCGAAAAGTGTCTTCCCCTTTGAACTGACAGGACCACGTGGGCTCGAAAGGTTGATAATGTTGTATGAAGCAATGCATTATGGGATAAATGAAATTGCCCACTTCGGTTATACCAGTTAAGCTTGATTACCGATTTTGCCTTTACGCATCTGAAATTCTTTACGTACGAGACCTACTGTAAAGTTCTGAAAAAAAGGCCCGGGGCTTATATTTTTCAAAGGCGTTTTTGAGGGGCTTATCTTTGGAGGGGCTTTTATTCGGAGGGGCTTATCTACGGAGGGAAATTTGCATTTCAAAATCGATTGAGTTAGCCTTATAGTTGGAAGTGAATTTACCTTTTTTGCTTTGTTTTACTTCGTATTTGAGGGCAATTTTCCAAGTACGAGCCCCTGGGGGGCTTATATTTGGGAGGGCGATTTAAAAAGGGTTTTTGCGATACCGGATTGGGGGCCTATGCATGGAGGGGCTTATTTTCGGAATTTTACGGTATATGACTGAAGGCAGTCTATGCCCAGAAGGGGTACTCCCTATAATGCCTATACATGGAGGCTCCAGCCGAAAGGGGTACCATTTTCAGGCCTCAGGTATATGAAAGGGTAGGGATTGCTCGCGTTTAGGGGTGTAAAAGGGTTGGTAAATCTGTCATTTTTTTACTTGACCTAAACCTTCAAAAAGCTGCAAACGTTGTTTTAAGTCACGGTGAAAAAAGGAAATTAAAAAATTGAAGTTCAGATTCTCCACAAGTCGAACTCCCTGAGTTATTCAGTCTGAAAGTGGTCAATTTATACATTTCTTTATCAGTAACTCTATTTCGGATTCCGAGGCGTTTCGCTCGGCCTTTCTCTCTCTCTTTTATAAGACGAGTTACAAATACGCGCCAACTCAGTTGAATATGACTCCGTGCGAGAGATCACCCGCTAGACTTCAGTTTCAACAGAAAACATTAACGGTTGAGTTCCCACACGAAAAAAATCGCTGGGAGCAAACCGCAGAAGCATTCGGTGGCGAACGAAAGTTTAACCTGCAGTCCTTGTCACCTCCAGCATCCCCATATCTTGCTACTTTGCTAGCAACAAATCTACTTGTTTCTATTCGCTTAATCGACAAACGGCAGGTGCTATTACATAGTAATTATGATCCCGTGCAACTTTTAGTTCATATAAGAAAAATTATCTGCTCATTTTTGGAATTTAAAAAGTTATATAGAGCGCAAAATCAATCTTACCTTCTCTGGTCCGCTTGATATGATGGCTTAGTTCCTGTTGAACGCCGCCTTTAAAATCGGTCATTGAGCTCTACTGAACGTATTAATCAAGTATCCGGATCTTTTCCACACTTTAAACGCGGTGTACGTGCCATTTTAAAGCTCAACAATTGTAAGCGTAAATAATTGTCTTTTTGTAGAGCGGATATCAGCAAAGGCATATTGCACGCAACTTAATGTACTGTTACAAACTGATACATAACACATCGAGCTTTTGTGCTCACTCTAATGAACACAGCCAAATAACCGAATAATGAATAAAGCTAAGTAAAAAATCCAAACTTGGCTTATTATATATACATTTTTTTTTTTGCTTGTTTTTATATATATATATATATATATTTCAAATAATGGTATACTTTTTTTAACTGTATAAGCATTGGAAAAAATGTTTCCAAGAAGCCTAACGTGATCGATGCCTTGTCTTCATGGGCCTTGCATAAAGGCGGTTTGCAGTGTACAGTTTGTGAATGAATATTGTATATTTGAGGAAAAAACTCAAGTTTCTTCTATTTTCTTTTAGTCAGAAACAGTGTTTCTCCTTCATAGAAAATGAGAACCTAATTAAGAGCGTCCTTAAACCAATAAAAATACAAGAAACTATTTTGCCAGACTTAACTGAGACTAAAGTAGGTTCTTATACCCGGGTGTTAGTACTTCAGGTTGGCACTTCACGCGCCGCCATAGAAACAGCGATAACCGAGACAATGCGTGCAGTGCAATAAAATCTTTCCGACTTAAATTGAGACATATAATTACATAGTATAAACCTAAATGCTCGGCCTATGAAACATGAGATTATGAAGAAACTGACGCAGTCAAAAGGATTAAGAAGCTCTGATTACATGATTTCGAGCAAAAGATCGAAATGTCAGAAAGGCCTACAAAGACAACAAATCAGTCGGAAACCATTCTATTTGTGCTAATATGAAAAGATCTTATCAACCGAAACTAGCATTTTCTCAACTTGCTATGGTGACCTATGTATTCTAACTTTTATAGCAGCTAAGTGTAATTAAAACAGAAAAACATTTTGT